GCGCTCAACAGGGTAACAGTCAAGTCGCGGTACCCAATTCCCCGCGCCGACGAACTGATCGACCAACTGCGAACAGCACGGGTGTTTTCGAAAATAGACTTACGGGGGGGTTACCATCAGATTCGGGTCGAACCATCGGACTGCGCCAAGACAGCATTTAGGACTAGGTACGGGTCTGTCAGAATCCCAACCACTAGACCATTGGGATAAAAGGGCTTGTTTCAGTAGCGGGTCAGTGCGCCCATAACCCCCCAGGCGAACGCGCCTGTAACCCTCTCCAGGATCAATCGGGCATCCACAGTGCAGATCTACTGACAGGGTCGTTTGAGTACACGGTGATGCCTTTCGGACTGACCAACGCGCCCGCAACATTTCAGATGACCATGAACGAGGCGTTTAGGCCACTCTTAGATAAATGCGTGATAGTTTACCTCGACGACATCCTCGTCTACAGTCGCGACAAGCAGCAGCATTTAGCGGATCTCAAAGCAGTATTTAAAGTTTTAGAGGAACATCGGTTACTAACCAAGGGCTCTAAGTGCGAGTTTTTTCGGGACAGACTAGAATTTTTGGGGCACGTTATTTCGGAGGCTGGAGTTGAAATCGACCCAAAGAAGCTGGATACGGTAAAAGCGTGGCGTCCCCCGACGAACATCACGGAACTGCAGAGTTTTTTAGGGTTCGTTAATTATGTTCGTCGGTTCGTCCCCGACATGGCACAGTTGACTGCCCCGCTGACGGATTTACTGCAAAAGGGGGTCGTTTTTACGTGGGGGGAGAAAGAGCATGCTGCCTTCTCTGCCCTGAAAAATGTTCTCTGTTCACCGCCCGTCTTGCGCATCGCCGACCCACACCGCCCCTTCGAGGTTGTTACAGATGCAAGCGACATTGCCATTGGAGCCGTACTGCTACAGGACTTCGGCAACGGCCTACAGCCCATCGCATACGAGTCACGAAAACTGCATCCGCCCGAGCGAAATTACCCGATACACGACCGCGAAATGCTCGCGATCGTGCATGCGTTCAAAGTGTGGCGCTGCTACTTGACCGGCGCAGACGTGATAGTACGGACAGACCACCGATCACTACAGTACCTCCGCGCACAGCCCCACCTCAACCCACGACAGATTCGGTGGCTCGATTTCCTCGAGTCAAACTTCCACTACACAGTCACCTATAAAAAAGGAGCCTCGAACATCGCCGACGCACTGACCCGCCCCACTGCCCAGATCCACGCGATACTACTCGCCCAGACCAGCCCGCTACTGACAGGACTATTTACACACGGATATCAAACGAACCCATTCTTCACAGGCGGAAATTCGCAGCAGTTCGCAGCAGCCAAGGGAGTCTATTACGTAAAAGCCGGGACCGACCGCATCTGGGTACCAGGGTACACACTGCTACGGGAATTACTATTACAGGAGGCACACGACGGGGTTACCTCGGGACATTTCGGGGTAGAGAAAACACGGCAGCAGCTGCAGCGGTATTATTACTGGCCCGAAATGTTGACCGACGTGCAGTGACACGTGGCATCGTGTCCCAGTTGCCAGATCATGAAGTCAACACGGAAGCGGCCGGCGGGACAGTTGCAGCCAATCCCACCTCCAGAGCGTGCTTGGCAGCAGGTGACGATGGACTTCGTCACGGGGTTACCGGCCGGGGCGAGTGGAAATGACGGGATCCTGGTCGTCGTCGATCGACTGACGAAAATGGCACACTTCGCAGCCTGCAAAAAATCAATCACAGCCGAAGAAACAGCCCGCCTCTTCATCTCTACCGTCGTTCGACTGCACGGGATACCAGCATCAATCATCAGCGACAGAGACACGAAATTCACCAGCAACTTCTGGCGGAACCTGTGGCAGCAGTTCGGCACGCGACTACAGTTTAGTTCATCGTACCACCTCGAAACAGACGGACAGACAGAACGGACAAATCAGACCATGGAACAGCTCATCCGGGCCACGTGCGACGACCCAAACACGTCGGAACAGCAACTGCCACTCATCGAATTCGCATACAACAACGCCCCATCCGCCACGACCCAACAGTCACCGTTTTACCTGAATTACGGACAAGACCCAACAGTACCCATGACCCCGAATCCCGACAACCCGGTTCCACGCGCGCAACAGTTCGCCGAAATTTTGCAAGCAGCACGGACCAGGGCAGCAGACGCAATTAAAAAAGCTAACATCATCGCTAAACGCAACGCCGACCGCCACCGCAGACCTGTCACTTACCAGCCCGACGACTTAGTTTTGCTCGACACCCAAAATCTCTGACTGCCCATCACCCCGAAACTCCGCCCCCGATACTGCGGGCCATTTCGCATAAGCCACATGCTTACACCTATCACCGCCCACCTCCTCCTCCCTGCTGACTGGTACGTCAGCCCCTCGTTCCACGTCAGCCTGCTTCGCCCTTACGTCCCGTCCACGAGCCAACTGCCACGCAATCGCCCAGCCAGCATGACAAGACCACCGACTGAACCAATCATCACCCCCGAGAAAATCCTGAGTCACAGAGTTCGCGACCCTCGAGGAGCCCGAAGGATCGAGTTCTTACTCCGCTGGAAGGACCGTACACCCACCGAAGACAATTGGGTTCCCCTGGACAGAATCGAAAACCACCCCGTCCTCACCGAGTATCTGCGCAGCTGGAATTTCAGGGATGTACACGCACTTTCGTAAGGAGGACCTCCTTAAGGGGGGGGGGTAGTGTAAGGAAAATCTCTTTTTCCTTACTTCGCGTCCCTGCTCAACGCGTACATCACTGTAGCACCACAGTCAGCACCGTTACCACTCGCAATCCTCGCATCGACAATCCGCCCGCCACCTTCGCACGTCGCACCCCGACCTCACGGCTCGGCGGGTAACCCGCGCTCCGGGCCTCCGCTTCGACACTTTTTCCAACCTCAGTCCCAGGCCCGTCGCGCGACAACCACAGTCCATTACCGTTACCACTGTAGTTTCGCTATATATTCTTCGCTCATACCTTCGCTCATTTGGACTCTTGCTTCGATAGTGCAATTCTCGTTCGTTCACTCAATTGCACTCGTAACACTCCTCCAGCCATCCCGTACACATACCTTAGAAAGAGGGGACGATAAGGGATATAACCAGGCCCTACGATATCAGGAATTTTCCCCTGAAATTCCTGATTTTCAGCCTAGTTTTGTGTACCTACACTGAATTTTCAGTGTTGAGATTTTTGTGACACTGATTTTTTCAGCCTTTACTTCATAGCTAACACTGATGTTTCAGACTTTTATCGAAGTGTACACTGAATGCACATTCCGAATCCTTCCCGTAAAACACCCGAGACAATAAGTCAACCAACATTTCCACATGATAAAATTTTGTTTAAAAAAATACTGATTGCTGACCCGATGAACGCTTAGTGGTAAGCGAAGTAGATACCGAATGGAAAGGTTTCCGGTTCAAATCTCTCGACTAACATGTTCTTAAAAGCTACTCTCTTGCACAATTGCATGATGTGATTGAAAATTCAGGCTTTTGTTTTTCGGAACCCTGGAAATTCAGGCTTTTTGTTTAGGAACCCTGAAAATTCAGGCTTTTTTTCACAGGGACCCTGATGCATCAACGTCCCTAAAAGTGAATCTGAGGGCCTGGATATAACACCTTATACCTCTTTCGATGGTCTCTTGCGTCTCCATCTGTCCTTGGCTGTTCGAGTAGCAGGGGGTGCAGTAGTCTCGTATCGCGCTGCTCGTTTCTTGCAGCGAGTAGATTCAACGCGCGATCGTCACTTGATGGCCAAATCTGTTTCGCAGTCGTCTGCTGCTGCGTATCTTCTCTGTAGAAAACCCTAGAATCTGAGGCTTTGGCCGTCAGTATCGTCGTTTAGCCGTCTCAGAAACAACTCCTTTTCACGAGGCTTTGCCGTCACTGTTATCGTGCTCGCATCGCTTGTTCTCGACATTGGTTAGCGGTTTTCGCTCAAACGATCAGACACGGTGCACTAAAGCCACTCCCGGCGTCGAAGCCGCGTCGCCTGCTTTGCCGACCGTATCGTTACTCTTGCTGCTTCGCGTGCTCGTGAATGCGGTTCGAGGATCATACCGTTGAGCGATTTCAACCGCTGCCGTTGAAATAGCAGACGACGGGTAACCACCAGACGAGCGGATCTGACGAGCAGCTAAGCCATCCCTAGCAACAGGAGGGCTCAGCTGGGAGAGCAGAGCAGGCGCGATGGCATCGTGGTTGATGCGACTGAAATACGTGACTCAGAAGTGCTCCCTCTACAGCTACGTGCTCATGCGCGTGAGTTATTGTGTGCGCGATGGTGTTGGCTGTTGTGAGTGCTGGTTGCTGGTGTTTCATGCACGGGTTCGGGGGTTGGTATTCAGGGCGTAAGGGAAGTGCTCCCTGCACAGCTTCGTGCTCCTGTGTGAGAGGTGGAGCTGATGGGGTGTGATAGCATTATGCTATTAGTGGGTGAGCAACATTCGGGGCAGAAGGGAAGTGCTCTCTCTGTATAACACCGTGCTACTGCGCGTGAGTGATGGTGTGAGAGGTGGAGTTGCTGGGGTGTGATAGCATTATGCTATTAGTGCGGGTGAGCAACATTCTGATTGCAGGCCCACATGGAGGCCCACATGGAGCGGCATCAGGGGGAGGCCCCCCCCATTGCCAAGCCAGTGAGGTCGCTGAACAGAACTGTGCAGCACGGGAATTGACATATGACACCCTTGCTTCCTCGTGCCCATCCCCCCCCCTGCTTTTGCAGGCTCACGTGGAGCAGCATCCAGGACAGTTCCGCCTCTTTCCCAAGCTAGTGAGAGCTCCCAACAGGGTCGTGCAGCACGAGGCATCATCACACATGGCGAAATCATCACACATGGCGAAATCATCACACATGGCGAAATCATCACACATGGCGAAATCATCACACATGGCAGCATGCGAAACCCTGTATGACAACACTGACTCCCTCCCTCCTGCCTGTCCATCCCCCCTGACTCACTGCAGGCTCACATGGAGCAGCATCAAGGGCAGCTCCCTCCCATTGCCACCCTAGTGCGATCTCTGAACAAGATCGTCCAGCACGAGAAATCATATCTCACATCCTTGCCGCGTTCTCTGTTGGGAGACGAGTCCATGAGGCCGACTCTAAAGGGGATGAAGGACGAGTGGGTGCTCTACCGGTTTCTGATGCCGCCCAGTTGGAAGTGAGTGTGCCGCCCGTTTGGGAGTGAGTGTGCCGCCCCTTTGGGCAGTGAGGCAGTGAGTGTGCCACCCGTTTGGGAGTGAGTGAGTGGGCCACCCCATTTGGCAATGAGTGAGTGTTCCGCCCCTTTTGGCAGTGAGTGTGCCGCCAATTCGGTAGAGAATGAGTGTTTGTGCCACCCCTTCCGCAGTTGACGACAGTGGGATTCGGTGACTACTAGGTCTTATCGGATTTGACCTTTACATTATGGTCCTATTGTGGCAGCGGTCGTGTTTATTAATATGTTTATACATATTCTTCCCACATGTGATGGGCATAAGGATTATTTTATTCGTCCTTGCTTCCTCAGCGTGCTGCTGTGTCTGCACGCAGAGTGGATCCAAGGCTCCTGTGTCTGCTCAAGAGGTTGCAGTCTTGGATTCCTATCCAACCCTTTCCTTTTAACGCCTACCCAATCCCGCCTTTCCTTATAAGCCATTTTCATAGTCCACATGCTCTCTCCCGTGGCAGGCAGTACCATTTCCGTTGGAGATGTGGTGGTGGGCTTCCAAGTCGGCTGCAAACTTGTGAATGCCTACCCAATCCCGCCTTTCCCTGTAACCCCTCAACCTGCCCTCTCCCATGGCAGTACCATTTCCGTTGGAGATGTGGTGGGATTCCAAGTCGCCCCCACACGTTTTTCTGCCGCGTCTGCTTCTGCTACTGCTTCTCCTGCTTCTTCTTGTGCTCCTGCTGCTACCTCTGCTTCTCCTGCTTCTGCTGCTACCTCTGCTTCTCCTGCTTCTTCTGCTTCTGATGCCTCCTCTTCTTCTCCTGCTTCTCCTGCTTCCCCTGCTTCTCCTGCTTCCCCTGCTTCTCTTGCTTTTTCTGCTTCCCCGGCTGCCGATGGCACAGAACCAGCCTGTTTTGACTCAGAAGCCACTCCCAATGCAAAAGCAGCACCCACTTTTGAGTCGACTCAAAAAGCCGACGCAGAAGGTTTCGACTCAGAGGCCACTCCCAAGGCAAAAGCTGCATCCAGTTTTGAGTCGACTCACAAAGCCAATCCAGAAGATTCCAAATCAAAAGGTTCTGATTCAGAACGTTCTGAGTCAGAAGCCACTGCCAAGGCGGAAGCAGCACCCACTTCGTTCCCACTGATCTTTCGGCGTGTCGCAGCCGTTGCTGGAGACGAGATGGTGTCACCTCAGCCGTCGGATGAGCCGTTTCGGATAGACAAGGACCAGTTCTGGGTGCTTGCTGATGATCCGACGGTTCCTGCAAAGGTATGGTCAAGAATCAAGGGTGATTATTTAAGGGTACCTGGAAACGAGAAATGTACGTAAGGGTGCCCGGAAAAGAGAATGGTATGTTCAGGATGATCATAATGTACCCGGAAAGAGAATGGTATGTTCAAGGCCGAGTATAGAAGGGTACGTGGAGAAGTGTAAGGTGTGGTCCCAAGGTCCGCCCAGGAGGACCTTGGTAGCCGTGCTCTTGGTCCCAGTGCAGAAGGGTACGTGGAGAAGTGTAAGGTGTGGAAGGTGGAGCACGGCTACCAAGGTCCTCCTGGGCCCCAAGCTCTTCACCTTCTCTATCTCCCGCCCAGGAGGACCTTGGTAGCCGTGCTCTTGGTCCCAGTCCCAGTGCAGTGAGACTCGAGAGGACAGCATTTCAAAGCTCTTTCTCCTGCTCTGCCGTTTCTCTTGCCCCAATACATCTGCTCGTTCTCTATCCCTATTCCCCCTCCCTCGCAGGTGGCTGTTGACAGCCGCACTCTGGGTCCCGTGCACGTGAGGGACATAGTGGGAAGAGCTTTGTACGTCGTGCGCTCAGCTTTGGATCATGAACCCATACAAAACAGGTGTGCCCTTTAGTCCTTGGTAGGTGTGTGCATGCCATGTTGCTGGGCTATACTGTATGTGGGGAGAGGTCTCTGTACGTGGTGCGCTCAGCTCTGGACCATGAATCCATACACAACAGGTGCGGCCTTGTTTTGGCACTTGCTTAGCCCTTTTCCCTTAGCTTTGACACAACAGGTGCGTTCAGCACTAGACCACGAACCCATACACAACAGGTGCGGCCTTTAAACCCTCAAAACCCTTGCTTGGTGCGCAAACCATGTTGCTGAGTGTCACTGTATGTGGAGAGAGCACTGTACGCAGTGCGCTCAGCCCTGTGTACAGTGGACCACGACCCGTACACATCAGGTGCGGCCTTGCTTAGCCCTTATCCTTTACTGAAGAGGCCCGCTCAACACTAGACCACAAACCCAGACACAACAGGTGCGGCCTTTCAGGTCTAGCGTGCATGCCATGGTTCTTACTTAGGCTGCTTAAAACTCGGTGTTGGAACATGAACCTGTACAGAACAGATGCGCTATTTTAGGGGCGCCTAACAATTCAGTACATATGCTGCAAGTTGAGTCTGCACCGTACAGGTGTGTTCTTGGAACCTGTGGTTAGTGTGCATACCATGTCTTTCTTGCTGTATTCTGCTGGTGTGTTATTGGAACTTCTGTTTTTAGTGCTCATGGTAAGTTGTGTTGTCCCGCCATGCTGCATAATGAGCCTGCACCGAACAGGGCATGTTGCCGCCATGCTGCAAACAGCGCATGCCTGCTCCCATCTGTATAGCCACTGACTCATCCAGCCTTCCTCCCCTTGCCTCCCCTGCCCCCCGCCCGCTCCTCCCCTCTCTCCCACTCTCTCCCACTCTCTCCAACCTGTGAAACGCTTCTTTTCCCGCATCTATCAGTGATCAAGCTATGGTAGACGATGCAGCACTTGCTGGCTCACCCAATCATCCTTTCCTTGCCTCATTGCCCTCTTTCCCAAACCTTCTCCCTCCCTCTCTCGCACCTGTGAAACACTTATTTCTCCGCATCTGTCAGTGATCAAGCTATGGTAGACGACTCAGCAATAATGACAATGGAGTGTCAAATTGAGGACCTGCTGAAGCGGATAAACGAAGAAAGGAAGTGACTATATAGTGACTTTTCTCACCAACCACCAGATGACGAAGCAGTAATGCGAATGGGATCTCCCATTGAGGACCTGCTGACGCGGATCAAAATACAATGGCAGTTATGGGTCCTTTTTTCACCTACCATCGGCCCATGGTAGATGATGCAGCAGTAATGGCAAGAGACTGCTTAGAATCTGTGGAAACAAAGTACGCAAGCGGTCACAGCCTGTATCTGCTCTACAATTTTTCATCCAGCGTGCCTCGCTCCCTATCCGCTTAGGTGGCTTCGGCATTCGCAGCTCTGCATCCATCGCCCCCCTCAGTTACCTTTGTAGCTGGGCGCAGACAGTTTCGACCTTATCCACCCACTTCATCACTGATGGTGCTCCTCTTTTCCGCCCTTACGTCACCACGGACTCCATTAACCTCCTCGACCCTTCAATCTCATCCACCATGACCATGCTTCCCCAAGACATTCGTGATCGCTTCCCATCATGGCTTGTGCTTCAATCGGGCTACCCTCCTAAACTCTTTACTCATCTCTCCCAACACCTCGAAGCCGATTTGCTGGAGAAGGTTCGAGCCACAGTAACGTCCCCGTTTCGCCTTGCTCGTCTAACCTCTTTGCAGGGCCCGCATGCAGGTGACTGGCTCACTGTGGCTCCATCCTCCCCGCACATGCAGCTTTCAGAGACTGAATGGCGCATTGCAGCAGCTATCCGCTTAGGCTTTCCTCTTCCTCACCTTTCATCTTCACTCACCTGCACCTGCAACTCCCCGTTCACCGATCCTTCCATCCATTCTCATGTCCTTCGCTGCCCTAGCAACAACGAGCCTACTAAGGTGCACGACGCAATCAAACGAGAAGTTCATCGCATTGCCTTGGAGCTTGGGTTCTCTGCGCAGATGGAAGACCAGCATCTCCTGCCTGGCCGCCGCACAGACATCACTTGCCGCGATATTAGCTCTGGTACCACCTGGGCCTTGGATGTTTCTGTTGCTGATCCACAAAAGGGGTTTCCGCACTCCAACGTAGCTACGGTGATTGGTTCAGCAGCAGCCACTCGTGAAAATGAGAAGACCACCCACTATGCTGCAGCACTTCGTGACCGTCCAGACATCAAACTGTTTCCCCTTGTCATCGAAACCTTTGGTTGCTTCGGCTCTTCGTTCAACAACTTCCTTCGCCGATGCAGCCGCAAAGGGGCGTCACAACTCCGCGACTTGAGTGGTGCCACAGATTCTCTTCCCCAGCTGTTTGAGACCAACTTCTACAAACGGATTTCTCTGGTCCATCAACGTGAGCAGGCTCGCACTGTTTGTCGTCGTGCACAAATTCGTTTTACCGAGGGCGTCAACCACGCACCACCCGAGGTGACTTCTCTTTCTGCAGCTGACTTTGCCTACTTGGGAGAGGACCATTGAGACATCACAGAGGCCTATTTGTAGGCCTCACAATAGGATTAGCCTGCATGTCTCTCCATACACTACGTCTCTGGATTTGCCTTGTATCCATTGTACATTTACTATAGTGTCAATAAAGAGGTAGAATAGCACCCTGCCATGAGCTCGGTGCAAACCCGGCTTCGATTCCCGGCTGGCACAACATCCTTTGAGAGCTGTGGGTTTTTTCCTATCTCCGATGTGCAGCCACGACCTGATCTACTCATTGCTGTTTTCGTCTCCAAAGTACCAGTACGGTAGCTGTTTTAGAGGGAAAAAACAAATTTGACGACACTGCGTAAGGAAACAACTCCTGCCCTCTATGCCACCCCACAGTTCCCCCCCCCCCCTCCCCCCCCCCGTGGCACAGCTACGAGACCTTCTGGGTGGCTTATTGAGCATCGTCGGGACACGTTCCTCTCCAACCAGCAGCATCTCCTTCACATCTTCCCTTACTGGTTGCAAGGCGATCTTCCACCTACAGTCAGGCCGTTCTACACTGCTTCAAACCTCGTCGCTCTAAAGTAACCGCATGGTGGTGTACGTCCCATCGCCATTGGAGAAGAACTACCACGTCTCCTTTCGCGCTGCGTCACTCTCTTTTCCATCATTTTGTTGTAGCAGTTCCAGCCAAGATCGAGGTCGTGTCTCACGCTGTGTAATGCGCCTTCTCCCTTCACCCGGACCGTGTGGTGCTTCAGCTGATCATTCAACTCTCTCAACAAAGTTTTGAGGTGTGAGAGGAAAATGTTTATTTTGTACGAGATGGTGGCTGATGCTAGTTAGTAGGTGGAGCAGTGGGTTGATTTGTAAACTGCTGGGTAGCTTGCTGATTTAGTTGCTAACAATTTTCACAAGTAAATAAATATGTTAACATTAAATTGACGTTCGTTGTAGTCTAGTCGGTTAGGATACTCGGCTCTCACCCGAGAGACCCGGGTTCAAGTCCCGGTAACGGAATGCCTTTTGTCCGTGCGGTAGAACCCGTTGTGCATATGTTTGATGAGTTTGAGGTCCGGCCAGGTGGGGTAGACCTGGTGGATGCCTGGCAAGCTGTGGAATTTCTTTGCATCGACAATAGACGGATACATCCACTCTGACATTCTCGATATAAAGTCATCCACTGTGGGTGTCAGCATCGCCTCCCAGTCCACCTGACAGGTACGAAGGATGCATCAGGTTAAGGGTAAAGAGTGTTGATCCGTGCAGACATATGGTTGACCAACACACATCGGGTGTTAACCATGCTTTCAAGTAAGCCTACGGGGTAAGAGCACACCTGCATGCAAAAAACCTGAAGACTTTAGAAGGAGAAGAGGGATACACCCCTAGAGCCATCCTTGCAAGGAAATTATACCATTGCATACCTACCAGTAGGTAGGTATGCACTTTCTTCATACATCTTGATATCTTGGTATGAACGATCGTGCATACCTACCTACTGGGAACACCCTTGCTGCCGCCTCTTCTCCAGCAACCAGGAAGAGGCCGGTACGGATTGTACAATCCCCTGTCGCTGCAGTCATGTCGATCTTTTTAGGCGCCTAAAAGGTCGCCTGGAAAATTGTCTTAAGGCTCCTCAAAAATTGGAAAAAGCAAGGAAGGGTTGTACACTGCCCTGTGGCTGCAGTCATCTATCACCAATGTGGAGCATAGAATGCAAGCAATCGTACCTGCATTCGCGGGGGGATGTTCGATGTGATCTCCTTCCCAGCAGCCAGGAAGAGACCTAGGAGGGTGGCAGATCCCACCATGGCTGTCTGTACTGCAAATTGTAATTGTGTATGCGCATATGCTGACCGTCGTACCTGCATTCGTGGGGGGATGCTCGCTGTGATCTCCTTCCCAGCAGCCAGAAAGAGGCCTTGGAGCGTGGCATATCCCACCATGGCTGTTCCTCGAGACAGGGGTAGCGCCTGGTACCTGGGGGAATGCATTGCGATGGTTATGCGAATTGTGATTGCAATGAGAAATGTCTGCATTAGTGTAGCACCGAAGGGAAATACCTAGGAGGGTGGCATATCCCACCATGGCTGTTCCTCGAGACAGGGGGAGTGCCTGGTACTTGAATGAATGGATTGTGATAAAACAGAAAGTGCAGTGAGTAGAATTGTGAGTGCATTGAGATGCTGCTGCAAGCACCACGGCAAGAGGCCTAGGAGCGTGACATTTCCCACCATGGCTGTTCCTCGTGACATGTGGAGCGCCTGGTACCTGCACGAGAGGAAGTTGTATTTAAGAGAAAGTGCAAAGAATTGTGACAATAATGAGGCGCTGCTGCCTTTGTTGCGCACCACAGCAGGAGAGCGTGGCACTTGTTCACCTGGCTGTTCCTCGCGTCAGCGGGAGTGCCTGCTACCTGCATGGAAGGTGCTGCGATTGTACAAAACACATGGAATTGTGACAGAGAGGAGGAGATACTACACTAGTGTATTGTAT